TAAAAATTTAAAAGGTTTTGGGGCTGGAGCAATAGCACAGTGGGTAGGGCATTTGCCTTGCATGCGGCCAACCCGGGTTCGATTCCCAGCATCCCATATGGTTCCTTGAGCACCGCCAGGGCTAACTCCTGAGTGCAGAACCAGGAGTAACCCCTGTGCATCGCCAGGTGTGACCCAAAAAGAAAAAGAAAATTTAAAAGTTTTTAAGTTATGTTGGATTATTATTAATTATTTCCAAAAGAAAGAAGTTCTGCAATATGTTACAATCTGGTTAAGCTTTGAGGCACGTAAAATGTTCTAAATATTTTAATTTAATATGCTTAGTAAAATATATCAGTATATCTACACAATGGGATACTATGCAGCCACCAGGAAAATTTAAATTTGCTTACAAATGTATGAACATGTAGTGTATAATGCTGAATTAAATGAGTCAGAGGAAGAGGGAAAAACAGAATGATTGCACTCGTTTGTGATATAAAAAATTGTAATATAAGACTAATACCCAAATACAGTAAAAACAGTAAAATTTAAATTTAAAAGGGTTAGGAGAATTGGTCCATAGTTGAAAGCTTACCACAAGTGTGGAAGGGTGAGGTAGGGGAGGCCAGTTAGGATAAAGAAGGGACAACTATGACAATGACTATTGGAAATGATCACTTTGGACAAAAAGTAAATGCTGAAAGTAGGTATGCGAAAACCTTCCAGTACTGTATGGAAAACCATAATACCCAAAAGGAGAGAAAGAAAGAGAGACAGACAGACAGAGACCGAAACAGAGACAGAGACAGAGAGAGGAGAGGAAAAGGGAGGAGAGAGAGAGAGAGAGAGAGAGAGAGAGAGAGAGAGAGAGAGAGAGAGAGAAGTGACTTCTAAAGAGGCAGGCTGTGTGTTGGGGTGGTGGGAGGGAAACTGTGGATATTGATGGTAGAAAATATACACCGGTGAAAAGACATGTGTTGGAACACTTTATGACTGAAACCCAATCATGAACAACTTTGTGACAGTGTATTATGTAGTGATTCAATCAAATTTAAAAAATGAAAAGAAAAAATAAAAAATACATATCAATTGCAAAAACAACAACAACAAAGCAAGCATGATTCTATTTATGATATATTTAGAGATACCTAGAATAATCAAAATCATAGTGTCAAGAAAAGAATGCTGATTGATAAATATTGGAAAGGAGAAATGTAGATTTATTATTCAATGGATATGGAGTTTCAATTTTACAAAATGAAGACATTTATGGAAATGCATGGTGGTATATAAAAACTGCATACTTAAAGATATTTAAGATGGTTTGTTTCTATTATTTATGTCTATTATTCTTTTAAGTTAAAAAAGTCTGGTTATATTCAAGATAAAGTAGGACTGGGGCTGGCTGGAGCGATAGCACAGTGGGTAGGGTGTTTGCCTTGCACGCAGCCAACCCGGGTTCGATTCCCAGCATCCCATATGGTCCCCCGAGCACCGCCAGGAGTAATTCCTGAGTGCATGAGCCAGGAATAACCCCTGTGCATCACTGGGTGTGACCCAAAAAGCAAAAAAAAAAAAAGATAAAGTAGGACTTACCTCAGAAATGAAAGGTTTTGCTTTTATATCCAAAATCAATGAATATAATCTCCCCATATTAGTAGAATAAAGTTAAAGTTCACATGATCATCTCCATAGATAAAGAAAAATAGGATCTGGAAAAATTAACATCCAATTGTGATAATATAGGCAGCATACTGGGAATAGAATAGAATTTCTTTAACAAATTAAAGAGTAAATGCGCCAGCTAACATCATACTTAGCAGGGGAAGACCAAGTCTTTTCACCAGAAGTAAGATAATGATGACTGTTCTTGCCACTTCTATTCAATATTTTGCTAGAATTTCTAAACAAGGTAATTAGGCAAGAATTAAGAAGGCTCTGGATTGGAAGGGAAGAAAAACTATTTCTCTATGGGAACATGACATGATAATGTACATAAAAATATTCCAAGAAATCTACTAAAAACCTATTATGGTTCATTTCTAAAAGTTAACAAAGGTCTTAAGTTGCAAGGTCAATATATAAATATATCAACATATAACTTATAGATTGTAGTTCTATTCACTATCTATGAACAATCTCCCTCAAAATTTAGAAAATAATCCCATTTATAATAACATTCCCATTTATAATAACATATAACAGTAAGGGATAATAGACTTATAAAGAATTTACTAAAAATGAGTATAAAAATTGAAACTTCAAATGATTGTTGAAAGAAATTAAAGAAAACCTAAGAAATAAAAAAACTTTTCACATCTACGGATCAAAAGACAATAGTTTTAAAGATGGCAGTATTACGTAAATTGATTAACAAATTAAACACAGTTCCTACCACATATCACATGGGTTGTTTAATTTTTGCCATAAATAAAAACATATCTGTATATATGGAAATTCAATAGAAGATGGAAATGCAATAGAAAATGTTTTTAAAAAGAACAAACTTGGAAGACATCTGATAGTTGTGACACTGACATAAGGACATATCTATGGATCAGTAAAATGATACAGAGAGCCTAGAAATAAATTCACATTCATGATCAATTGATTTTTGACTAGGGTACCAAGACAATTCAATAGGGAAAGAAAAGCTTATCCAACAAATGCTTCTGGTAATCTGGATATTCACATGAAGATGAATCCCTGGCCTCATTTTATATACAAACTAACTCTAGAGAAACCAATGATCTAAAAATAAGGGTAAACTACTTAAATTCATCAATATTTAAACTTTCATGTTTCAAAAACTATCACTAAATAAATGAAAAGACAATCTACATAGTAAGAGAAACTTTTGGAAACCTCACTTCTGATGAGACTTGCATGAAGACTATACAGAGACCTGTGATGATTCAATAATAAAATGAGAACCCATTTTTAAAACAGACAGGGAATTTGAGTAGACATTGCTTCAAGAAAGACACACAAAATGCATTTGAAAAATGTGCACCATTATTTAACTATCAGGAAAATGCAAACAAAATCAAAATGAGATACCATTTATAACCCTTAGCATGATTATAATTTTATTGGTTTTTTGGGGGGCGAGGGTTGGACCATTTCTGGTGCTATGCTCAGGGACTACTCCTGGTGATACTCCAGGAACCATATGTGGTGATAAAGATCAAACTGGGCTTGGCCACATGCAAGGCAAGCACCTTTTCCTCTATACTACCTCTGACTCAAGTATGGTTATTGTTTTTAGAAGCTGTAAATAGCAAAGTTTTTCAAATACGTAGAGAAATTGGTATCTTTATATATTGCTATCTGGAACATAAAGTGTTTTCAATTGCTACTGGGAATTCTGACAATTCCTCAAAATGTTAAATTACAGTTCCCATATAACCCGACAAATTTCCTCCTCACTATTCAACAAAAATAAATGAAAACATGTCCACACAAAATAATAACTGAATGGCCATTGAAGCATTAGTAATAATAGTAAAAAGTTAGACAACCCAAATGTCTATCAGTTAATGAGTAGGCGAATCAAATAATGCATACTATGGATATGATCTGGCAATAAAAAGAAATGCACTACTATCTCAAACAAAAGTAATCAATTATTCCTAAAACAAAATGAAAAACTGTTGATTCAATTTGGAAATAAACAGCAGAAGGAAAAGGAGACTGGAAAATTCACTCATGAGAAGATCCATGTGCTCTTCATCAAATTCAAGATGAACCCCTATGTATCTCTGGAGGATACCCCCTCAGTTCTACATGAAGGAAATAAGGGTCACCTTTCATGGTAATAAAAGGCAGAATGGGTCCTGTTGATTCCACACACAAAGTTATCTTTCATTTTAGCTTTCTAACTCATTAGAACAGGATTTGTGGGACCAGGGAGATGACTTCAAGGGCTGGAGTTCAGGTTTTGTATGATGGAGACTGTTCATCCCAGCACTGTATGGCTCCCTGATCATATTCGGGAGTGGTCCCCAAGCACCAGATGTGACCCACAAAAAATTAATAGGGTTTCTGCGTATTAATGTTCACATGTGGTTAAACCTTGAAAGCATGTTGAATGAAAGCAATCATAAAAAATTTCTTCCACTTCTAGGAAATGTCCATAAAAACACATTAATTAAGACAGACTTATAGACTAAAAAGTGTCAGTTGAGTGACTATGTATGGTCACAAAGTTTTTTCTTTTGGGAGAGATGGTTAAAATATTTTTAAATTGTGGCCATATTTTCACAGTTCTGTGGATATACTAAAAAATACTGAGGTGTACACTTTAAAAAAGTGAACTGTATGATGTGCATTTCTCAATAAACTTGTTATATAGAGAGACAACTCATGGGCAAGTAGGTAAATAGAAATGATAGGCTGGATGGATTGAGAGGATGAACAGATGGATGGATAGATAGATGATAGATAGATAGATAGATAGATTGATTGATTGATAGATAGATGAAATATGTATGTAAGTACATAGTAAGTACTATTAGGTTAAGAAATCTAAGAATGCCTAAAAATTGTCTTAGCCCATGAGAGTACAGAGTCCATGGTAATGTAACATTTTATTAATCATGTTGTGCCTAAAATACTATTACTAAAGAGCTTCTCATAAACTAGTCTAGACCTCAGTCAGGATCAAGACAAAAGGTTTAGGGGGCATTTCTCCTTACTTTAAGCCCAAACCTGAATCTTTCCATTTTATTAACCCATGCTAGGTACAAAGCTAAAGTGAGCAATTAAGAGCATTAGGGAGAGTGGAGGAGAATCAAATGGCTGGACTTCATTGCATGAGGGAGAAAGACCATCCTAACATTAAATATCCTTAAAAGGAAACAGAAGGAAGGAGAGAGAAGGAAAAGGACAGACGAGACGCTCACTGTTAACAGGATCCTATACCTACAATTAGGTAGTACCATTTTTTCATACAGAGTAGAAAGGAGGGGATGGTAAAAAGGTCCCTGCTCCTCTGCTGAGTTGTTCTTATCTTATAGGAGGAGTCAAGACCAAAGACACAGATGCAGATAGTGGGAAGAGGAAAGTGTCAAACCCACTTGGGCAGAAGGCCTCAGTAAGCTTGCTTCACTGTGTCTGGCAAATCAAAGCCCCAATCAAGGAAGCAGCTCATTTCATGGTTTCCAAGTAAGTCTTGAAGCTGGAAGGAAATTGCAGAATTATTAAGGTGACTTGTGCTGTATAGTGGGTAATGATTGTAGGCATAAATGAATTAATTGCTTTGTAAATATTACTGGATATTTCGGTTGGGGGAAGCCATCCATTTATATTCCTAAAGCTTCATTTTATTAATACCTGGTGTGGTTATTTTTCCTTCTTCACTTCTGTGTGGACTTGTAGTCAGAGTATACCCAGGTTCTATTCATGGAGAGGAATAAAGCTTGAGACAAATTTCATAAACACCTAGCAGAGACATAACCCAGTGCCTTGCTTTCTGGCACATTGATTTGTGAAAGGGAAATGAACTGCAGGGTTCCTTTGATGAGAATAGTCCTTTTCCACTCTGTTTAGCTCCCAGAAATGCAACGTTCTGACCTTTCAGTGAGATTAAGCAGCCCAAACCCCAAGGGAGGATGTGGGGGTGGCTGGAGAGCCGGTTAATCCTGAGAGCTGAGGGCACTCGTTCTCTGGGCTCATCTCCGGTACTCGGGTTTGGAGTTGAAATTTCTCTTCACCTTTTTGGACTTTTTTCTGGATACATTGAAATACATACACACACACACACACACTCACACACACACATATATATACATATACATATGTAGCACTCTTAGCACTGTCCTTCTGTTGTTCATCGATTTGCTCGAGCAGGCACCAGTAACATCTCCATTGTGAGACTTCTTGTTACTGTTTTTGGCATATCGAATACGCCACGGGGAGCTTGCCAGACTCTGTCATATATACACATATATACACACATTGGAATATTTATATACACATATACATATACGTAATTCTCCACTCTCTTCTTGCCACTCTCTTCTTACCTCTAGAATGTATTACAAGGAGCACTGTCTCAGGCTAAACTCCTGCTTCCAGTTAAGAAATCCAACCACAGCTTGGCATTTTACAGAGAGAAGTGGTATATGTTCTTAGTTCCTTTCTCTTTTTCAAAATTTGGGGACCCACAGAAAAGAAGTAAGAGTGATATAATGACCATCCAGTATCAAATATTTTTATTTTTAAAATTATTTGGGCTGGAGCGATTGCACAACGGGTAGCGTGTTTGCTTTGCAAGCGGCCAACATGACCCACCCGAGTTCAATAACTCCGCCCCTCTCAGAGAGCCCGGCAAGCTACCGAGAGTATATTGCCTGCATGGCAAAGCCTGGCAAGCTACCCGTGCCATATTCGATGTGCCAAACACAGTAACAATTGTCACAATGAAGATGTTACTGGGCCCACTCGAGCAAATCGATGAACAACGGGAGGACAGTGACAGTAACAGTAAAAATTATTTAATTTTAGCCATATATTCTTCTTTTTTTCCTTTCTTACTTGGCTGAAATAATTTAAAGAAAGTTATGGATATTTATGTATATATATATGGAAAGAGACAGCAATAGATAAATAATAGATATAGCATACTTGCATACTTGAATACTTCAACATTTATTTCTAAATATAAGCACATATTTGTTAAGTAACACAGTTTTATCATAACTCTAAAAAAAACATACTTTTTTGATAGCATTTAATACCAGTGACATAAAAAAAATCCCCCTGTTTGGTTCCAAATTAATTTTTTTATTATAAAGACATTAGGAGTTTAAAAAAAAATAGGTGCCATGATTTATAATTGCGTTAATAATAGGTTTCATTAACAATAATAACACAATCCAACACCACACTGGGCCCCTCACCCCATGTCCACTTTTCTCTACTGTTGTGGATACCCTTCAATCCTAGTTCCCACCACCTTTTCCCTGTGGTAAGCCTCCTACTGAAGACCAGTTCTTGGTTTCTGTTGCCATTGGACATTTGTTATACCCCTACATTTTTGTCTTTATATCTCACATATGAAAGAGATCATTCTGTGTCTGTCCCTCTCCTTCTGACAAATTACACTGAGCATGACACCCTCCAGACCCATCCATGTAGCAGCAAATTGCATGATTTTATCTTTTCTTATAATTCAGTAGTATTTCACAATATATATGTCCCACACACAGTTTTTCATTCCAGTCAACTATTCTTAGATACTTGGGTTGTTCCCACGTTTGGATTATCGTACACAGTGCTATAATAAACATAAGAGTGTAAATTATGTCATCTCTAGATAATTTTTTTGAGCTTTTGAAGTAGATGACAAGAAGTAGAATTGGTGTGCCATATGAAAGCTCAATTCCTAGGTTTTTGAGGTCTGTCCATATTGTTCTCCAGAAAAAACTGGGGAAGTTGACAGTCCCACCAGCAATGAATGAGGGTCCCTTTTCCCCTGCATCCATACCAACACAGGTTGCTTTTATTTTTTGTGAGTGTGCCAGTCTTGCTAGTTTGAGATGATATTTTATTGTTGTTTTGATGTGCATTTCCCTGATGATAAGTGCAGTTGAGCATTTTTTTCATATGCCTTTGTCCATCCGTATGTCTTCTTTGAGGAAGTTTTTGTTCATCTTCCCTCTTCCCCCTTATTTTTGGATGGAGTTGGTTGGTTTCTTTTTGTAAAATTCTAACAGTGCTTTATATTTCTTGGATATCACCCTTTTCAAATGAGTAACGTCTCCATTGGAGATTTTGAGTACTGAGAAATATTCTCTCCCAGTCTGTTGGGTATGTTTTTATACTGATCCTGAGGTTTTTTGGGTTTTTTGTTTGTTTGTTTGTCTTTGCAGTGTAGAAAGTTCTATTTACAGTGTAGTTACATTTATTTATCTTTGCTTTCATTTGCTCAGAAAATGGTATTAAAATGTTGAATTATCTCCAATGTTATGGAGAATTCTACCTGTGTTTTTCTTGATATAATTTATGTATTCAGGTCTGATATTGAGGTCTTTAATCTAGTTTGATATCATTCTTTTATATGGTGTTAGGGGTCTGCATTAATTTTTTTGCAGGTGAGCAACCAATTGACTTTTAATTTTAGGTAAAATTTACCGTTTTTCATAAAATGTCATGGCATTAAGTACATTCAAAATATTGTTGCCATTATCACTATTTCCAGAACTTTTTAATTATCCAAAAAAATCTTTATACCTTAATTGAAGAATAATTCCTATTTTCTGTTCCTTCTCTAATGATTTTTTAAAGGTAGATAAATTAAACAAGCTATATATATTTCCTTTTTGTTATCAATCTTATAACCTAAAATGTACTAATCTTCTAATCTAGAATGTTTTCTTCTTTCTACACCCATGAACACTTATATTTTATTCTCATGCATTGATTCTTGATGATTCTGGTCTAATTAATCCACATTTCAGGTTTGTATTATTGCTTTTTCATGGTGCTATTAAACCATCTCTTCTATTCTCTATTTTTCTTTTGGGCTCAAATTTAGATCAAAAGTCTTGATAAGAATTAGTAAAAATTCTGCTATGAAATCTTCATAGGCAAAACTGTACATTTCCTATTGCATTGTATGATTGAAGCTAATATTAATCACTGTTTAGGTGATGGTAGTTTATTAAAACATGTTTTTTTCTTTTGGGGCCATACCCAGCTATGCTCAGGGGTTACTCTTGACTCTGCACTCAGGAATCACTCCTGGCAGTGCTGAGGGACCTTATGGGATGCCAGTGATCAAACCCAGGTCGGCCTTGTGCAAAGCAAACACCCTACCTGCTATACTATCGCTCTGACACAAATATGTTTGTTTTTAAATGAGGCCTTAATGACTTACACTTCTAGAGAAATGGTTATCTCTGTTTTGAATGTTCAGATAAAGGGACTCTGGGTTGTTGCCTGGCATCTAGGATAGGGCCTTTACCCTAGATAGAAGATAAGAGGATCAAGAGTGAGGCTTTATCCTCTTTATGGAGTATATGCAGGTGTTTAAATTTATCTCTGAGGGTGGTCAATCAGACCAGAAATTTCTGGAATGTTAAGACCAGCTCCTACTACCTTTACTCTAGACTCAGGGGCCTAGGGGAAAGAGAACCCTGGCCAGTCATTTGCTGGAATGTAGCCATGACTGGATAGCTCTTTTTCCTAACACTTTTCAAAGACAAATGACCATGGAAATTCAGATACAAATGAACTTTTCATGGCATTTAAAAATAACTGCACCTCTACCTTTAACTCCGCCCCCCAGCCCCAACACACACACATATACACAGTTTACCCCACAAATCACTTCAGTTACTATGTCCATTCCTTAGTTTTGTTTGGGGGGTCAGTTTAGGAGCTGCTCAGGGGCTCTTCCCAGCTGTGTGCTTGGGGGTTCGCTCCTGGTGAAGCTGGGGGAGACCATGCAGTGCTGGGAATTGATCCCACCCAGTTCTCTCTCTGGCACAACACAAATCACTTTAGACTCTAGAAGGAAAAAGTAAGAGCACTTATGAGTACGAAATGAAAAATTTTAAAAAATTCCTTAGATTTTTTAGAGCACTGCTTAAATTTTGATGGAGGAAAAAGTATACATCTGTCTGTTCTATTTTAACTACTACAAACTGATCCATTGAAAATGCAAGTAACTAGGTTTTGACTAACCTTATTTCCGGTGTGGCCCAGAGATAGTACTTCAGTAAGGCTGCTTGCTTGCAGGCAACAAACCAAGTTCAATCCCTCAGCTCTTCCAGGGGTTGACCCATGAGTACAGAGTCAAGAGTAAGCCCTGAGCACAGCTCAGTGTGTCCCCAAAGCAAAATCCAAAAAATATATATTAAAGGTGACTTGAAAACTAAGAATTAGGGTCTCTTAGGAAAATGATTTATTTCCAAATAATAACTTTGTTTCATGGCAATTGTATACTGAAGTTAGTTAAACTCTGTCCAAAGTGACTCTATATTTCAAGATCCCTGGGGGTGGGAGGTGGCAGGGATGATTATTAGTGCTACTTTGATTTTATTACTTTGGTTTACAGTTAACACAGAATTTCCTGCATAGCACCACAGAATTTAATTCTAGGATGCTGGACTAACAATTTTCATTTTACAGCTATCATAATTAATATCCCTTTCATCCAC